CCGAAAGTAGCAAGGCTAATCAGGGAGGAGGAAATGGCAGCAGCACACATACAAGAGAGGCATGTGACATTCACGTATGCGAATGGTAAAGTGGTGGGTGCGACAGTGAAAGACGCAACTTTCGGTGATGCCCATGTGGTCTTCGATCGTTTGAAACACAGGAATCCAGGCATGGCCTGCGACTGCTCGTTTGGAACAGAAAAAGGAATCCCATGTAGGCATGCTTATGTCGCGACCAAAAAAAATGGGCAATATCTCTATAATTTGACAGATAGAAAGTACACAACGCGGGCATGGAAAGACGTGTACTGTACGGAAGAGGCAGACGGAACCCTTGTCGTCGAATCTCTACGTATTCCGAACATGCATGATGTGAAACGCCATATAGACTTGAAAGATACCAAACTCTGCATGCCCCCCGCCTACAGGCCCCGTGCCGGGCGCCCAAGCGTCAAAAGAAAAGAGAGGACGAAGAAGGCCCAGGGAAACGGAAAGGAAAAAAAGGGGCATTATTGCCATTGCTGCTTCAGATTCGTCACTGACCACACTAAAAAGAGTTGTCCTGAGAGGGATGCTTTGGAACTGGTGGATAATTTGGAGCCGATGTTGGCAGAAAAAAGCGACAAGGCCCCAGCCGAAAATGGCGATGCGCCATTACCCGAGGATATGGCATGGCAAGCAAATGCATCGGTGCCGGATGAATATAGAGATTATGCTCCTTCTTGAACTGCACAAAATGACCTGTGCAGGTGATCTGCCACCTCACCTTTTAGAGATTTTTTTCGCGGGGTAGTCTAATAATGATATTTTGCACGCTTTGCTGGTCGTGCTAAAGGAGGGTTGCTTCGGGCGAAAATTTCGAGGGAGGCAGCCCCTTTTGCAAAAAGAATGCTGGGATGCTGGGTTTGGCGTGTCTTTGAGGCAGCGTGACGTCCTGTCTGCCTCAACAGGCTGAGGAGGAGGATGATCACACTCAACCTTTGAGGAAGCTGGTGGCTTTCCTGCTCAGGAAGCTGAGGAGGATGATGATCACACTCAAGGAGGAAGATGGTGGCTGTGCTCAGGAAGCAGCTGAGGAGAATGATGATCATACTCAACCTTTGAGGAAGCTGGTGGCTTTCCTGCTCAGGAAGCTGAGGAGGATAATGATCACACTCAAGGAGGAAGATGGTGGCTGCGTTCAGGAAGCTGAGGAGGATGATGATCATACTCAACCTTGGAGGAAGCTGGTGGCTTTGCTGCTCAGGAAGCTGAGGAGGATGATGATCACACTCAACCTTTGAGGAAGCTGGTGGCTTTCCTGCTCAGGAAGCTGAGGAGGATGATGATCACACTCAACCTTCCTCAGCAGGCTGAGGAGGATGATGATCACACTCAAGGGAGGAAGATGGTGGCTGTGCTCGGGAAGCTGAGGAGAATGATGATCATACTCAACCTTGGAGGAAGCTGGTGGCTTTCCTGCTCAGGAAGCTGAGGAGGATGATGATCACCCTCAAGGGAGGAAGATGGTGGCTGTGCTCAGGAAGCTGAGGAGGATGATGATCACACTCAACCTTCCTCAACAGGCTGAGGAGGATGATGATCACACTCAAGGGAGGAAGATGGTGGCTGTGTTCAGGAAGCTGAGGAGGATGATGATCATA